AAGCACAGTGTACCTACCTATTTGTGGTCTCCAAGCCCACTCCAGCTGATGTTTTGTTGTTTTTCTCATCAGATTTACACCCTCCTTTTTGCGTCTGGGAACCTGGAATGTGATGATGTTCGTAACCTATGAGCAGCTGCAACGGGCCTTGATGAAAGTCCAGATGTTACGGGAATCTCGGTTTTGAACAAGACAAGAGGGCCACTAGTACTTAACGTGTACAAAACCAGTTAAGAATGGAATAAAGTCAGGCATGGTGGCTCATGCCTGTAATCCCAGCACTTTGGGAGGCCAAAGTTGGAGGATCACTTGAGCCCAGGAAGCCAAGGGTGCAGTAAGCTATGATCATGACATTGCATTCCAGCCTGGGTGACAGAGAGAGACCCAGTCTCTAAAAAGGAAAAAAAAAAAAAGGAACAGAATAAAATGGTGGATCCATGCACACGTGGACACAGACCCACACATGTTTACAGAATTGTTTACTTGCTGCTGATTCAGAAAAGCAGTAGAAGGGGAGAAAGGATTCTGGTTTTCAGTGCTCTGTCTTAACATGTTTGCACTGACAAGATGGAAAATAAATTATATTAATTTTTGAAACCCATTGGGTGATGCCTAACATTTAGGCAAGAGAAAAGAAACTAAAACAAGTCCATTTGGATAAAACAGAAGTTTGCAAACTTGTATCCCCTAAAAATTCTGATTAGACAACGAATTATAAGCAGGAAAGATGGCAAGCACGGGACAGGAGTGGCCCAAAATACAGCTGGCAACCAGCTAAGGCATCTAGAGGGATGCTACCAAAGCAACACAACGCTTGCGGCTGCAGCCTTCCTGGGCACACATGGACCATCAGCCTGTTTGTAATGTGTCTGCCGTACAGAATCCATTGCGATTCTGGGACATGTGAGAAACAAAAGAGAAACCTGGAGCTGGTGCCAAAGGAGCCCCGCTGGGCCAATGTGAGGCTGAGGCTTGTAAATATTCCCTGATAGCACTGGTGAATCAAGAGGGCAGCCACCTTTTCCATCATGTGACAACACAAGGCGACGGCATCAGCTATGAACTAGAAGGGCAGCCCCCACCGGACGCTGAGTCTGCACCTTGATCTTGTACTCCCCAGCCTCCCAAACCATGAGAAATAAATTTCTGTTGTTTATAAGCCGAAAAAAAAGAGGACAGCCTCAGTCGCTTTTCCTATAAAACAGGGGTCACAACCCCTTCTCTACCTACCTCCCCAGGGTGTTATGAAGATCAAGTGAGAGTCTGGGCATGAAAGCACTTTATAAAAGCGAAAGCTTAGCCGGGCTCGGTGGCTCAGCCTATAATCCCGCGCTTTGGGAGGCTGAGGTGAGTGGATTGCCTGAGCCCATGGGTTCGAGACCTGCCTGGGCAACTTGGTGAGACCTCATCTCTACAATAAATCAAAAAAAAATTAGCTGGGTATGGTAGCGCGCGCCTGTAGTTCCAGCTACTTGGAAGGCTGAGGCGGAAGGATTGCCGGAGTCCAGCAGGTCGAGGCTGCGGTGGCCGGGAGCAGCCACTGCACTCCAGTCGGGACGACAGAGTGAGACTCCAACTCAAAAAAAAAAAAAAGTTTTGTACAAATGTAACTGTAAGGACAAGGTCTTGGAGAGCTTTTTGTTGGGAGAGACAGGAACTACCAGGGAAGAAGTTCTTGAAAGATACAGTTGTTCAGAGATCAGTTGTCTGGTGCCCCAAGGAACCAGAGACTTGGGGGTTGGTGACAGACGGTGTCATGAAGCTGCAGGAACCTCAGTCCCTGGCTTGATTGTGGGCACCTTGAAGGATTGTGAGGCTTGGAAAAAAGGGGTAAATGCCTGACCAACAGCCTACGATATGGCAGGACTCCGAATTTTTGGAAAATTATTACAGCTCAATAAAGGAACTCACACCCAAGATGTGGGATTAAGAACAGTTGGTTTCCTGCCTTCTCTTTCTTGGACAGAATTTTCCTGTCTCCCTCAGGCTTCCTGTTTGTCAGGACTGGGCCAGATCTGGCCCCACATGCCTGCCCTTCCTCTGCCCTCTCTCACCCTGTTCATTGCAGGCAAGTTGCTCTACCTTTTAGGGCTTCAGCTCCTCCATCTGCAAAAGGCAGGGTTGAACTAGGCAACCAACTTCCAAGCTTAAGACTGCATGCCTTTCAAATTGATCAGGGGGACAAATTGACAAAGCAGTGTCTTTTTCTGCTTCCAGGCAACCTTGTGGACCTCTGATGATAGAAATGGGTTCAAACCCCACCCCACCCCTCTTACTAGTTACCCAGCCATAGGGAATTCTCACACCTCAGTGTCCTACCAGAGAAGTAGGAATAACAATCCCTACTTCACAGGCTTGTTGTGGGGTTGGTCTAAGATGCCTTGGGATACAGGAAGTCCTCAGTAATGTCATTTCCCTCCTTCCCAACTCTGACTCCTCTGCACCCTGGGAACAAGCAAATATCCATTCATCCTCTGCACTTCTCTACCTTTAAATTATAACTTGAGCCAGGCACAGTGGCTCAAGCCTGTAATCCCAGCACTTTGGGAGGTGAAGGCAAGAGGATTGCCTGAGTACAGGGGTTTGAGATGATGTTCGTAACCTATGAGCAGCTGCATGTGATGATGTTCGTATCTTGAACATCATGGGCAACTTGGCAAGGCCACATCTCTACAATTAATCAAAAAATTAGCCAGGTGTGGTGGTGCACACCTGTAGTTCCAGCTGCTTGGAAAGCTGAGGCAGAAGGATCGCCTGAGCCCAGCAGCAAAGGCTGCAGTGGTCATGAGCATGCCACTTCACTCCAGGCTGGGCGACAGAGTGAGACTCCACAGAGGTCCAGCCTCCGGTGAGCAGGGCCTGAGTTGGGGGGAGGGAATGAGAAAGAAAGACAAGAGACAGCGGGATTGGGAGGTCTGTCTCCTCAATAGGTGAGAGCAAGTTTATTTTTTAGCATGCCTCTTATATAGGGCAAAACTAGGGCAAAACTGTACAAGGGAGGGCAAAACCACACAAGGGGCTGTTGAGAAAACAAGCAGCGTCAGCATCTGGGCTAGGCGTGATTGAGGTCATGCCACTCTGCTTTATTATAAAGTAACAAATCAAGGTCAGGAGAGATGAGGGAGCCACAGCAGAATTATGTTGCTACTAGAAGGCGAGCTATTCTGCGTTTACCTTCTTGTACCTAGGGCTTTATTGTAGCTAAGACTTTATCTGTACTATGTGTACCCGGATGTGTGGGCATCTGAGAGACACTGTTTCGTGTAGCAGGCTGCATTCCTCACAGCCTGCCTTTGGCTAGGGTGCAGAGCTTCCAAGCGAGACCATTGCCTACAAGCTCGGGGTACTCAAGACCTGCTACAGTGGCAATGCTTGACTGCTCCCCACATCACATCTGCTCCAAGATGGGAGAGTATAGGCTTGGTTCCTTGAACACAAGCAAAGAACACAAAGACCTTGTCAGCTTATGCTCTGGTTTCCTTCGAGACTTCAACTCCAAAAAATAAAAAATAAATTATAACTTGAGATCATCTACATATACAAACTGAAGAGTTCATACAAAAACAAATATATATATATAATTTTTATGTAATGTCTGATTTAGCTTTCAAATACAACCTATATTTAAAAGTTTCTCTTTCTTTTGACTTGTCTGACATATGCAAATCACTCTCAAACTCCTGGTCTCAGTGTGAAGTTTCCAGGGTCCAGGAACTGTATTTCATGAATTTCTATATAACAATATCAACACATTATCTACCCAGAGGAAACTATTCAGATGATGATTGTGAGAGAGGGAATAATTGTTCTTTTCAGTTGGAGTCTCACTGTGTCACCCAGGCTGGAGTGCAGTGGCACAATCACGACTCACCACAGCCTCAACCTCCTGGGCTCAGGTGATCCTTCTGTCTCAGCCTCCAGAGTAGCTGAGATTAGAGGTGAACACTACCATGCCTGGCTAATTTTTTGATTTTTTTGTAGAAGTCTTGCTATGTTGCCTAGGCTGGTTTCAAACTCCTGGGCTCAAGCGATCCTTCCACCACAGCCTCTCCAAGTTCTGAGATTACAGGTATGAGCCACTGTGCCCGGCCAAGAGATAATAAATTATTCTAAGATATATTTTGACTGGTATCAGAAGCCTAGTGACCTCCAAGTCCAGTCTTTTGGAAAAGGGAAAACAAGATTGATGGGAGTCTTGTGAGGTTTCCAGGGCAAACTACTAGATTTCTTTCCCCATTTCTTTTTTGTTTTGTTTTGTTTTTGAGTTGGAGTCTCACCCTGTTGCCCAGGCTGGAGTGCAGTAGCGCACTCCCGGCCACCGCAGCCTCAACCTGTTGGGCTCAGGCGATCCTTCCGCCTCAACCTTCCAAATAGTCAGAAGTACAGGCGCGCACTACCACGCCCAGCTAACTTTTTTTTTTAGTTGGAGTCTCACTCTGTCGCCCAGACTGGAGTGCAGTGGCCGGGAGCGGCCACTGCAGCCTCCACCTGCTGGGCTCCGGCGATCCTTCC